CAGCGTGATGTTTGACCGCTAAATTTAATTCAATTTCGAATACAATAACGACGAACGTTTCGACCCTTTTTTGGGGTCCTCCTCAGCGCAATGATTAACAAAATTTTACATAAGTATGGTAAGAAACAACCTTAACGCCGCAAACATCAAGTCAAACGATAATTAGGGCGGATGTGCACTCCGACACGTTCCAAAGCATCGTCGTGTAATTTCCTGGTTGAAGTGCCAGAAAATTTGAACTGCAGAATGTCGTTTGTCATTGTGTAGCGATACCTGTGGACATCCGGAGTACCATCCACTCACAAAAAATGCAAGAGTTAACAAAAAGAAAAAGATCAAAAGCAACTCACAGATTCAAAGTCAACAATAAAGTCAGGTCGCAAAGCTCGTCAGTCGATTATAAAACTTATTGTTTTATGATGAGCGGTGAAGTGGATGTGTCTTACAAACCGTTTCAACTGACAGTGACACGCACGATTCGACAATGTTATCAACTATACATACGGCGAGAGGTCAAGTTACAAATACCAATAATATAATGTCAAATTCTCGCAAGTCCCTACGATAACATTTACGTCACTTTACAAATACCAACAGTGTAATGTCAAATCTTCGCAAGTCCTTCGATAACATTAACATATGTTTCCGGTAAATTTTCCGTATCCGTCTGCAAATTAAGGCCATCTTTTTGTCTTTTGATGTAAATCATTTCGGAAATCAAGCGTTTGCTTAGCGACGGTTCTTGGTCTAATATTTTAACATCATTCCACTTAAACTCATGTTTATGTTCTAATCTGTGATCCGTTATGACTGAATGTCCCGTACAATTCCTTCTAATATGCGAATCATGTTCCTTGATTCTCGTTAGTAATTGTCTCCCCGTCTGACCAACATAAGACGCCTCACAATCCCCACAGTCAATCTTATACACAACTTTCCTATGTGATGTACTCGGGAGAGTATCTTTGTGTACCCTGATATATCTATTCAGTTTATTTAAACTGAAGTACGAGAGCTTTACATTTAGATCTTTAGTTAAATTCTTATATTTTTCAGTCAACTGAGGGACATAGGGTATCGTGAAATAAGGAACCCTATCTATCGAGTTCTCGTCGTCAGTATTGCCGCTATTAGAAAAAAGAAATTTCAATCGTTCCTGCATTACCTTAAAAATAAATTCTAACGGGTAGCAATTTTGTAACAAAATATGAATCACTAATTTAAGGTTTTTTTCGTGAAATTTAGGATGCGACAGCTTGAATACTCGATCTATTAAACAAATGACTGTTCCTTTCTTCTGGCAATGGGGATGCTGGGACAAAAAATTTAGATATCTCCCGGAGAAGGTAGATTTGTGGAACCAATCGAATTGCAAACGATTTTCAGTCCGGATCATCGTTATCTCTAAAAAATTCAACCTGCCATCCACACCCACCTCCATGGTAAATTGCAATCTCGGGTGAAAAGAATTGAATACCTCTAAAGTGTGAGTGCATTCAGTAGAAGGTATTGCCATTGCAATATCATCCACATATCTCTCATAGAAAGGTGGAGTGAAACTCAACAACTCAAGTGCCCTTTCCTCAAGATCCTGCATCACTATGTCCGCCCCTATGGGAGACAACGGGGAGCCCATGGGTGATCCGAAAGTCTGTTGGTATATTACGCCATTAAACATAAAGAAGGTTGATTCTAATACCATTCTGACAGCCAGAAGAAACTCCGATTCCGGGATCTTGCAATTGTCGGCAATGTATTTCCATCTCGATGAAATACTGTCGATAACCCTTTCGATAGGAACATTAGTAAAAAGGGAAACCACATCAAGTGATACAAGTGTGTGATCCTCCATGATATGAACGTTGGAAAGTTTTTTAACTAATTCTACACTGTTCGCAATGTGACTCTTTCCTTTTGGGAAGCTACTATACATAATCTTGTGGAGAAATGAAGCTAAATTGTATAAAGGACTATCTATTGACGAAACAATTATTCTGAAAGGACAATTCTTTTTATGTATCTTGGGTAGTCCGTATGCTCTCGGTAATGTCCCATCACTACAGTACAGAAATCTATAAAGAGACTCTGATATGAAATCTGATTTCTTCCATCTCGTTAAAAGTTCCCGAGCCCGCGTTGTTAATTTTCTAGTGGGATCTTTAGTAACTACTTTGTATGTTTCTTTATCACCCAGTAATTCCTCCATCTTGGTTATGTATTTATCCCTATCGAGTGCTACCGTTACGTTTCCTTTATCCGCCCTTGTTAGCAACAAGTTGGGATTGTCTTCTAAAAAATTCTTAGTGACAATGGACAGATTTTTCATCATATTGTTATGTGCGCTTTTTTGTATAGTGTAATTCTGGAGGCTGTTTGTTACATTTGAAAACCGGTTTCTGAGTGTGGCGTGTGTTCTAACGGGAAATTTTTTTACATTATTTTCAATATTTTTAATGAATTCTATAGTTACTTTTTCTTTATTCACCCCGGGAAGGCTAAAATTTTCTCCTAGCTGTAGCAAGCCTTGAATATTCTCAGGTATGACTGTGGATGACAGGTTGACAAACCATTTTTCATTAAGCTGCGTTAATGTAGGTTTAACCGCGGAGAATGGTTCCGGATCTACATTGACTATGATTTCTTGGTTGGATACGTCACGCGGAGAATCAAACGAATATTTAAAATCTTTATTGTCAATAGAGATCTGCTCATCAGACGAGATATTGCAAAAATATTTTATGGGTCTAATGTCTTTCAGTTGGTTAGTATATTTAAAATATAAATGGTCAAATTTCTTATTCATCCTGCCTTGTAAACTCCCGAAGAAGGAATGTAATGAACATTCTTGTCTTTTAAAAAAAGAATTGCAGACGGATGCCGGAATACAGCGATACATAGCTCCAGAAATTTTATAAATTTGTATACGTGCAAACCGAGAATGACAATAGGTGTCTCTAAGTTCTATTTGTAATAT